GCGTCCGCGTCGGCGTCGGCGTCGGCGGCCGTCGGCGTCGGCGTCGGCGTCGGCTTGGCGTCGGCGTCGGCTTGAGCGTCGTCGTCGTCGTCGTCGTCGTCGTCGTCGTTGTCGTCGCTGGCGCTGCGGCCGCCGCCGCCGCCCGTTGTCGCCGTCTCGTCGTCGCCGCCACCGCCGGCGCTTTCGTCGTCGTCGTCGTCGTCGTCGTCCGTCGGCGGCGGCGGCGGCGGCGGCGCGACGGCGTCGTCGTCGTCGGCGGCGTCGCAGGTGCCCGCCGTCGCCGTCGGCGTCGGCGTCGGCGTCGGCGTCGGCGTCGGCGTCGTCGTCGTCGTCGTCGTCGCCGTCGTCGTCGCCATCGCCGTCGGCGGTGGCGTCGACGGCGTCGGCGGCCGCGGGGGCGGCGTCGGCGTCGGCATCAGCGTCGGCATCGTCGGTGTGGGCGCCAGCGTCGGCGGCGGCGGCGTCGGCGTCGGCGTCGGCTTTGGCATCGGCGTCGGCGGCGTCGGCGTCGGCGTCGGCGTCGGCGTCGGCGCCGCCGCTGCCCGTCGCCGTCGCCGTCGTCGTCGTCGTCGTCGTCGTCGTCGTCGTTGTCGCCGCTGGCGCTGCGGCCGCCGCCGCCGCCCGTTGTCGCCGTCGTCGTCGTCGCCGCCACCGCCGGCGCTTTCGTCGTCGTGGTCGTCGTCGTCGTCGTTGTCGTCGGCGTCGTCGTCGTCGTCGTTGTCGTCGTCGTCGTCGTCGTCATCGTCGTCGTCGTCGTCGTGATTGTCGTTGTCGTCGTCGCCGTCGCCGTCGCCGTCATCGTCGTCGTCGTCGTCGTCGTCGTCGTCGTCGCCGTCGTCGTCGTCGTCGTCGTCGTCGTCGTCGTCGTCGTCGTCGTCGTCGTCGTCGTCATCGTCGGCGTCGGCGTCGGCGTCGGCGGTGTCGGCGTCGGCGGCGGAGTCGGCGTCGGCGGCGTCGTCGTCGTCGTCGTCGTCGCCGGCCAGGGCGGCAGCGGTGATGGCGGCGGCGTCGGCGTCGGCGTCGGCGTCGGCGTTGGCATCGGCGTCAGCGTCGGCGTCGGCGTCGGCGTCGGCGTCTGCGTCGGCATCGGCGTCGGCGTCGGCATCGGCGTCAGTGTCGGCTTTGGCGTCGGCGTCGGCATCGTTGGCGTCTGCGTCGTCGTCGGCATTGGCGTCGGCATCGGAGTCGTCGGCGTCGGCGTCGCCGCCGCCGCTGCTGCCTGTGGTCGTCGTCGTCGTCGTCGTCGTCGTCGTCGTCGTCGTCGTCGTCCACGCCCTGGCCGCCTGCTGCTGCCGCGTGCGAAGGACGCCTCCCCCGGCGAGCACGCAGTGCGACTGGGCCCGGGCGCGGCCTCCGCGTCGGACGAGGACCCGGCCTTCTTCGACACGGCGCGCCGCGTTCGCCGCCGCCGCTCCGCCGCGGGAGAGCGCCCGACCGCCTTCGGCGCGGGCCGTTGCTCCGTCGCGGCCTTCGCCGCCGCCGCCGCTGCCGCTCCCGATCTCCGACGGCACGACGCTTTCGTCGAGCCGGGCGTCGGTCCCTGGGGCCCGTTGTGGAGCCCCGTCCGGGGACGGGGTCGGGGCGTCCCTGGGGGCGGGCTCGGGGCCTCCCTGGGGCGTCGGCGGATGCGGCCGCCGCGCGCCCGCGCTGCAGTGCGCGCGAGGCGCGCGCGCGATTTTGCAAGAACCCTCCCTGCAATCTGTAGCACAGGCGGTTGCGCACAGTTGCCGAGAGTCTGCTGGCATCGCAGGCGCCCCGACATCGGCCGCGCCTGGAATCGCTCGAAGCGGCCGCCTGTTGCACACAGCCGCGGGGGCCGGCCGAGGTCAACTCGGGAGCGTTGGAAAACAAAAGAGCGCGAACCGTTGCTCACAGTTGCATCATCGGGCAGGCACTCTTGAGATGTCCGGGTCCGCCCTCGCCGCGGCCCCGCCGCGGCTCCGCCGCCGCCCCCGCGCCGGAAGGCTCCCGGCCCTCTTCCGCGCCCAGCCGCGGTTCCGCCGCCGTCGGGGACCTTGTCCAGGCGGGGTTGTCCGGAGGGGTTGTCCCTCTACAGGGGGAATATTCAAAAATATTGAAAAAATAGTCTGGGGACTATTTTTTTAAAATATTTTTGGGCATCTTTTGAGCATGTTTTGGGTATTTCTTATTTTTCGTCCAAACTCCCCCTGTAGGGGGACAGGCCCGACCTAAGGTTGTCCAGAGGGGTTGTCTGGATCCCCGTTGGGTTGTCCCATGGGTTGTTTGGGCTGATCGTCCTGTCGCCGCTAGTCAGCACGGGTTGTCCGGGTTGTCTGGGGCGCGGCCCGGGGGTCATTTTTGTCGGAAGGGGCAAAACACACAGCCAGAATTAGTCGTCGCTTCCCCGCAAGAAATATGGGAAAATGTGGGAAGGGGGGGGGGGAAGACGAACACCCGGAAGAAATGTGGGAACACATCATGGGGGATCCTGGGATGTTTGTGTGGGTTTTCCTTTGTGTGTCCCCGGGCGCCTGCAGTCTCTGCTGCTCCGAAGACCTCGCCATGGGGCGCAGCAGCACTCGACCTGCCCGCCGTGCCGTCCTCGCGACGCGAGGGGGCCTGGGCCCCACGTGGCCTCGGCGTGCAGGCCTCCCGCCACTGGGGGGTCCGCGGGCGACATTCGAGCAGGGGATCGACTACAGTTAGAGCGCCCAGGGTTGAGTCGGGCGTGTCCCTGTACAGGAGGAATATTCGAACACAGTAGAACAAATACTCGGGGGACGATTCTTGGGCGGTGGTTGACCACTTTTGAGCATCTTTGGGCTCTTCTTCGTTCTTCGTCCAGAATGTGCCTGCTAAGCCCAGGGTGCACGGGGTCCGTAAACCGGGCTTCAAGCGTCTTGGTTGCCCTGGGGCGCACGAACCGAGGCCACGGTTGTCCCACGGCGCCCCGACCTGCGTGGTCGGGCAGGTCGAGGCCGCACCCCGTCCGTGGGGAAGGCCAGCTGAGCCCAGCGGCCCGGGGAAGGAGGATCCAGACCCCCGATGTCACGACTCGTTCCCAACGTGCACCCCTGGAGGTCTCGACGCGCATTCTGGCGGCGCGCGCAAAGGGGGCGGGAGGGGGGGAGGCTTCTGAAAGAAGGAGCCTGCCTCCCAGAAGGCGCCAGCCCTACATCTGCAGACAGGGCCCGCGTTTTCTAAGAAGCAGGGGTGCTCCCAAGAAGCCTTACCCCCTCCCCCTACTCCCTGGGGCGCGTGGCCGAAGATCCCCCGGGACCGTCTGTTCATCCTGAGTTGTTCCTTGACGGCCCCAGGGCCTGGCGAAGAGGTCCCCGGAGTTCGAACAACACGACGAGGTAAGACGAAGCCGGGACGAGGGCGCAAAATCAGGTGAGGACAAGTCGGAACTCTCTGAGGATCGGCGGGTCTGGGGGATGCCTCAGAGCGCCGCGGCCTTCCCGGACTCCCCAGAGCGTTCCGGGACGCTCCGAGAGGGCGTTCCGGAGCGCTCGAGGACGAGTTTTGATCCTCGTCCCAAAGCTCCGTCCGACGAAAACCTTCGGTCGTGAGTTGCCCACCTTGCGAGGGGGTCCGGTCGGTTGGAGCGACGTGGAGGCGCCCGCAGGCGTCGGGCGCGCGTCGCCGGGCCGAGGGCGCGGTGGGCAGCGCCCTGCCCTGAGGACCCGCGCCGGCCGAGGCTTCCCCCCACAGCGGTTGGCGCGAGCATTCCGTCTGGACGCCCGGAATGGGTACGGAAAGAATGGGCACAATGCCCAACAGCAGTTCCTGTTCATTTTGAACAGGACGCGCTGTCCACGCCGCCGCGGCCCGTGTCCACTCGAGACAGAAGGCCGCCTGCCCAACAGCGGCCGCTGTTGGTTTGGGACAACATTTGTTGTTGGGTATTGTACCCATTCTTTCCGTACTCATTTCGGGCGTCCAAATTCCGAGGTGGCACCCCCCGCCGGGGCACCAGGCCGTCGGTTCCCGGGCGGTGGATATGGATAGATCCCCGCCCCGCAAGCGTGTCCTACAGCTGTGGATGGCGATCAGTGGAGAGGAGGCATGTTGCCAAATCCTTTCCAGGTGTCTAGAACATGTGTCAAACATGTTTCAGACACGTTAAACAAACACGTGCTTAAAACATGTTCTCCGACATCTTAAACACATCGTAAATTCAAGGATAGGACTGTTCGGGTGTCCATTGCCGTGGCATCCGGCATCCGAAATCCTACAGGCGGATCTGTAAGAAAATCAAATCTTACCAAAAATAGACAGACATGGTCAACAGAGCACGAGAAAACGTCCCTGGACTATTTTTAGATCATCCCGGACTCGTAGGGACACGCCCGGCGTGACCCTACGAGAGGGGCGCCCGCGCACGGCACCGTGTGCGGGCTGCACTCCATGCAGGCCCCGCGGCAGCTCGGTACGGTCAACCCGTACAATAAGGACGCTCGGTGAGGATGCAAGGGCCTTGAAGGGCCATGCTGACGTCTTTCGAACAGGGTCTGGCCAGCGATGGGCCGAAGGGGCAAGGAGGCAAGGGGTCACCCGGGAAAGTCGCTCGTCCTTACTATGCGGGTTGACTGTACGGTGCATAGCTTCTTCGGCTCCGAGGCCCGAGAAACTATGCACCGTACCGTGCCTAGGTCGAGGACCGACGACGCCTCCAGAGGCACCAACGCGGTACGGTGCACGCATGTCTCGAGCAAGGGATCGACTACGGGATCGATTTCTCGAAACAGTGGGTTTGCAGTAGAATCTGCCGAGCAAAGTCCAGAATGCCCCGTAGATCTGAGGAACATCCTGCGCATGTCTGGAAGATCCGACGAGGAAATCAGCTCGGGGGTGAATCAATTCTGTAGTCGACCCGCTACTCGAGTTGCACCATACCGTCGAGTCGCACGCGTGACTCTAAGGAGGACGCACAGTACGATTACTCATTCCCAGACTCAACACTGGTGTACAGTGCGCAGTGTGCTGCCAGCATGGCCCCCCTGTGGGGCCTCTGAGGCAAATGGCTGCGGAGGGGGGGAATCGTTGCTGCAAACCCGTCTCTCCCGCCTGTGCTAAGCTGTATGCGCAGCTGTCTTGCCAGAAACAGAACTCCGACCGATCTTCACACGATGCTCGACGAGGGGGACACGCAGCACCAGTATGCCCTCCCAGAGGGGCGACACACGCGCTCAAACATCCGATGGTACATGCCCGGCGGCGGGCGTTCTCTGGCCATGCCGCTGGGGTGTCGATGTACTATAAGTCACCACCCGCCAAACCACCCCAACCCAACTCGAAGGCCCCGATCTTTCCTCCATTTCCAGCGGGGGGAGGGTCGGGGAGCATGGAGAAAACCACATGACGCCCCCCCCCGCCAACCCGAAGTTCGGGTATTCGGCTTGGGTTGGGGTGGCCTGGTAGGTAGTCAATAAGGCTGTTGTACATTACTCTCGGGTTGTGGAGGACGATCAATGGAGAGGAAGCATGATGTTGCCAAATAATGTCCAGGTGTCTAAAGCATGTGTTAAACATGTTTCAAACATTAAGCAAAAGGTTTTTAAACATATGTAGAACATGTTCCGACATTTTAAAGCACATGTTTAATTCAATGGTAGGACCGTTAGGGTGTCCACTGTCGTGGCATCCACAACAATCGGGTCGCACGCGCGCCTCAAAGAAGGACGCGCAGCACCCGTACGTCCTCCTGCGTCCCACACGGCCCCTCCCGCAGCGCCCTGGCTATCCGCGCCTCGGGCGGCCGACCTCGCCCGGGGCCCGCCCGCTGGTTTCCAGAGACCACCGAGCTTCGCCTCTGCCCGCGCCCGCCGCGAGGGCCTCCCCCTCCTCCTCCCCCTCCTCCTCCTCCTCCTCCTCCTCCTCCCACTCCTCCTCCTCCTCCTCCTCCTCCTCCTCCTCCGCCTCCTCCATTCCTTTTCCTTATTAATGATACCGGAAAAAAACAATCATAGTCTTTTTAGGGCTATATGGCTATGGGGCTATAGAGCTATAGGGCTATAGGGCCATAAGGCTCTGGGGCTATCGGGCTATAGGGCTATAGGGTTATAGCGCTATAGGGATATAGGGCTATAGGCCCTAGGGCTATAGGGCTATAGGGCTATAGGGCTATAAGGCTATAAAGCTATAAAGCTGTAGGGCCATATGGCTCTAGGGCTCTAGGGCTATAGGGCTATAGGGCTATAGGGCTATTGGGGCTATAGGGCTATAGGGCTGCAAAGCTATAGGGCTATAGGGCTATAGGGCTACCTACCCGGGCACCCGGGCACCCCCGGACACCTCCGGGCACCCCCAGGCACCCTGGCCAGCCACCGAAATCGGCGACGAACCTCACCTAACCATATGAATCCGTTAGGACCCCTGCAGAGGCAAGGTCTGATTGGGGAATAACTTCTCCCTGTCGCACCCCGAGGCCAGTTTTTAGGGCGGTCCAGGCGTTTCACCTGAGACTTCCTCACCATTTATGACCCTGAAGCGTAAATATTGACAACAGTGTCACACATGCAATGCGTGTGGTTTTCAAAATGTGGCTCTCGCCTTAGCGCCGCGCAAATTCGTTTTAACAAAATGCAGGATTTTCACGGGTTGAGGGCGGGTCGTTTTCAAAATGTGGCTCTCGCCTTAGAGCCGCGAGCATTTTTTTGAAAACATGCAAGAGTTTCACGGATTGGTGGCGGTTCCTATTCAAAATGTGGTTTTCGCCTTAGCGCCGCGAACATTCGTTCAGGTTGATCCGTGGCGTTGGAATCCCGAGAACGATGTTTTGGCATGCATCAGGGTCTTCAAACGGTTGTCTTCCAACGAAGCAGTTCCTTCAGTGGAGATGAACCCTTGTAGGGGCCTGTGAAGAGGGAGCTTGGAGGGAGGGTTTATTCCAACATCGTTGATGACTCCTGGGTTTACACTGGTCCTCCTCCTCCTTCTCCTCTTCCTCCTCCTCCTCCTCCTCTGCCCCCCCTCCTCCTCCTCCTCCTCCTCCTCCTCCTCCTCCTCCTCCTCCTCCTCCTCGGACTGCCTGTGCGGCTAGACGTGCGTCCCGCGTGCTCGTGCCGAAGCTCTGAGCGTGCTGTCGAAGGTGCTCCCCAGTAGTTCAGAGAGCGCTGGGGAGGCGAGAAGTATCTGCCGAGCGGGTCTGTGTCACGAAGTACAGCGCGGAGGCCGAAGGTCGCGGGTTTCTGGAGCAGGAGCGTGCACGAACAATTCGGAGTTGTTCGTGCCCAAACCTCTCCCCTCCCGCTCTTGACCCTATTCTCCGTTCCTCCCCCTCCATCTCCCTCCGCTGTCCCCCTCTCCTTTCCATCCTCTGCCCCCCCTCCCCTCCTGCTGCAGCAGCCGCTGCTCCGTAGCCACCCTGGCCAAAGTCATGTACTTTAGCGCGACCCTGGGACCCGATGTCACGAGCAAGTTGCAACATGCACCAAATCACGGCTGGAGCCCTAGACCCCCGTCTTTCTACGGCAGTTTTCGAGTCGCATCGATCCGCGAGGGCCTGGGGGCCCGAACTGTCGGGCGAACTCCTACGGTGCGACAGGCCCGCGACGCCAGGATCTCGGGCGAGCAGCCCCCCCCTCGCGACCACGGCCCTGGGCGCGCCCGGCCGGATGCCGCGGCCTCCCGCCCTGGACTCCTAGGCCTCCCAGTTGGGTTCCGAGTGGATGGGGTCGGAGGATCGCCAAGGGCTCCTTCGAGGGCGCGAAGTTATTCGCGCTTCGCGCTTCGCGGTCCTCCTTCCTCCTCCTCCTCCTCCTCGTCCTCCTTTTCTCCCCCTTGGGGGGCGGCGCGAGAGCGCGAAGTTATTCGCGCTTCGCGCTTCGCGCAGCGCGAAGCGCGAAGTTGGGAGCCCTAGTGCCCATACGCCCGCGATGCGGCTCGATGGGGAGCCCGCTCTCCTCGCCGACGGCGCCGATGCCATCGCCGGTGTCGGCGATTCACACAGGCGATGCGTCGGAGATGCACCGGCGATGCATCAGCGGTGCGGCGCGAGCCTCCGACCCCGCCTACTCGGATCCCATCCAGGAGGCCTCCAGGATTCGAGCCCCGCGGGCGGCAGCGAGGGAGGCGGCGCCGCCCCCGCGGCGGCGCCGTGGCCCTCCGGGAGCCGCTCGCCGGGCGCCTCCGCGTCGACCTCGCCGCCGCCGAGCCGCGGCCTCGCGCCCCCGCGCGGCCTCCAGCTGGCGCTCGCCCCTCCAGCGGCGTGCGGCCGCGAGCCGCCGCCCGCGCCGTGGGCCGCGCGGCCCTCAGCGCCCGCGGGCTGGGGCGCGCCGTCGACGCCCGCGGCCTGCGGGGCGGCTGCTGCGGCGGCGCTGGGCCGCGGCCAGTCGCCTGCGCCGTTGGGCACGGCGGCGTCGGCCGCGGCCCGTGGGGCGATCGCGCCGCGGGGAGGCGGCTGGGGCGCGCTGGCCTCGCCCGCAGCCTGTGGGCAGGCTGCTGCGGCGGCGCCCGGCCGCGGCCAGGCGCCCACGCTGTGGGGCGCTCTGGCGCCGCCCGCGGCCGCCGCGGTGCCCAGGCAGCCGTCGCCGGCGCGCCCGGGGCCGCCGCTGCTGCTGGGGCCGCACCATCGCGGTATATGGCAGCCGCCCTCGCGCTCGGCGTCGCAGCTTGGCGCGTGCTGGCCAGGTGGGCAGTCTCCCCCGCGCTCGGTCTCGCGTCCTGGCTCGTGCTCGCCCGGGTGGCAGTTGGTGTCGCAGCCCGGCGCGTGCTCGCCGGGAGGGCAGCCCGCAGCTTGCTCGGCGATGGGCAGTTTGGCGGTGCTGTCGAGGCCGCAGCCGAGTGCTGGGCAGCCGCCGCCGCCGCGGGTTGCGCCTTGGGTCTCGCCGCAGGCGGGCGACCAGCTGGCCGCCTCGTACCCAGGCGCTTTGCGCCGTCAGCGTTCGCAGCCGCTCGCCGCCCAGTGCCGCACCAGGTTGCCCCAGCATGCCCGCCCCAGCAGTCCTTTGCCCAGCGAGCTTCAGGCAGGCGTGCGCCGCGAGGTGGAAACCGAGGGCGAGGCGCTGATGGGTGGCCCGATGCAGATAGGCACCGCCCAGCACGCCTGCCCCAGCAGCCCTTTGTCCAGCGAGCCGCAGACAGGCGTGCGCCGCGAGGCGGAAGCCGAGGGAGAGGCGCTGATGGGTGGCCCGATGCAGATGGACACCGCCCAGCACGCCTGCCCCAGCAGCCCTTTGCCCAGCGAGCTTCAGGCAGGCGTGCGCCGCGAGGCGGAAGCCGAGGGCGAGGCGCTGATGGGTGGCCCGATGCAGATGGGCACCGCCCAGCACGCCGGCCCAAGCAGCCCTTTGCCCAGCGAGCCGCAGACAGGCGTGCGCCACGAGGTGGAAGCTGAGCCTGAGGCGCTGGTGGGCGGCCCGATGCAGATTGGCACCGCAGCTCCTTCTGCGGACACGGCGACCGTGATCATTCCTGAGCGTGTGCCAGATTTGCAAGTAGCTGATGAAATCGTTATTCCAGACGGTGGAAACCTTCGCTTCCCTGTCAACCAGGAGGATTTGTTGAAGGCGCAAAAGGTCGTCGACCGAGTCCATTCTGGCACCAGTTTGGCCACTGCCCTCTTGGATGTGGGTGAGGCTAGGAAGCCTGCGCCCAGGTACCCTGGAACGGCATCCCGGAACTTGGTCGTTTTGTCCAGCTGCCTGCGGCAAGTTCCGCCCCCGTGCCAGAACATCACCCTATAGGGCGACGCTTCGAGCACCGCCCAGCAGGCCGTAACATACAGTCAACCCGCAGAGTAAGGATGGGCAACCTTCCCAAGGGTCCCCTTGCATCCTTGCCTCCTCGGTCCATCCTTCGCCACTTTCGTCGGCCGCGCCCCGCTCGAAAAGCTTCGAAATGGGCGTCCAAGGCCCCTGCGTCCTCCTCGCGCATCCTTACTATACGGGTTGGCCGTATGCCACCTCTCCTTGCTAGGCCCACCGGTCCCGCGACTGGGTGCCCCTACCCGCAAGGCAGGCGTGGGGCACCCAGACTTAGGTCGGGCCTGTCCCTCTACAGGGGGAGTATTCAAAAATAGTCCCAAAATAGTCTGGGGACTATTTCTTGATTATTTTCTGACCATTTCGGAGTATTTTTTGAGTTTCTTTTGTTTTTCGCCCAAAATCCCCCTGTACGGGGACACGCCCGACTTAAACCCAGACCGCAGGAGACTGGCGGCCGCCCGGAGGGGTTCCGTCGAGCGCGGGGGGGAGGGTCTGTACATTCCGTGGCGGCGGACCGAGGTTCCTTCCTGAATTTGTGGAAGTCGCTTAATGGAGAGGAGGCATGCTGCCAAAGTACTTTCCAGATGTCTGAAACACGTCTCAGGCATGTCTTAAACGTGTAAGACATGCCTGAAGCGTTCTTAGAGCACGTTTTACACATCTTAGACACATCTTTTTAATGCAATGATAGGATTGCTCGAGTGTGCAGTGTCGTGGCATCCACAATCCTAGATCCTCCCCCCCCAAGAAGCCCTGAGTTCCTGGAGTTGTACTCTTCTCACGACGGGCGTCCTCGCTCCACGTCGGGCGCCGGGGCCCTCGCGCGGACGGAGGCGGCTCGAAGATCGGCGCAGGAGGGTGGGGTCCTGGGCATCGGGGCACCGTGGGGCCTGCCTGGGCCGTCTTCGGGTCGTCGTGTGCTCCTGGTCAAAGGCCAACGCGGTTAGCTTCCCCTGGAGGGCGTTTGAACGAGGACGTTCGTGCATTCAAGATCGCGGAGGGCGTACATGAACATATGTCGCTGCTCGCTCACCTGGGGGCCCTCCCTCGCAGGGCTCCCGTGGCCTCGCCGTCCGGCTTCTCCGAGGCCCTCTCCTGGAGCCACCTCGAGCCGAGAGGCCCGGGAAGCGCCGCGGTTCCCTGGCGCTCTTGGCTCGCTGGGAGGGCCTCTTGGCTTTCCCATTTCAGGAGGGAGGAAAACATACATGGACAGAGTTCATCGTCGATTCCCCAGAAAATATGGCAAACTATGGGAAGTGAGGGGGAAAACGAACATCAAAAACAGATGGAAGATCTGACGAATCCTGGGATTTGTGTGCATTTGTATTTCTACATATATATATATATCTATATGTATATGTGTGTGTGTGTGTCCCTGGGACCCTTTATCTTTGGTGTACCTTTTCGGGCCCCTCCTGGGCTCTTCTTGGGGGCTGTTGGGTGCCTCTTGCGGCAATGTTGGGCTCTCTCGGCGGTCTTGGTGGCCATCCTGGCCCGTCGTGCACGTCTTGGGGAGCCCTGAAGAGCCCTGGGGAGGCGTCGGGCCGTCCAGGAAGCCGCGGGGGGGGGGGGAACGTGTGCGGCACTGTGTGATGGGAGCGGCGGGGGGGGGTCCGCTAGAAGACTGACAGAAACTTACCGCCCTGCCGCAACGTGCCAGGGGATGTGGTGGCGGATATTCAGACTTTGAGCTCGATGATGTGGCTGCAATCTCACAGATCTTGGAATGGAAGATCCAGCTTGGGGAGTTGGATCGCGAACCAATCGTCATGTTCTGTGCGGATTTTGTGAAAAAAGACCTAGGCACAATATTCGAGAAGAAGCAATTAGTGGCAGCGCAAATGCTGGGGATGATGGATATTCCAGTCCTCACGTGCGAAGGGGGCTGCGGTGAGATCACCATACGCAATGAACCTATTTAAGAAGCTTGCGCCATTCTGTCGACCCCAGAGGGTGGTGTGATTCTGAGCGTTCCCCGGATACCAGCAGCCCATCAAAAAACGATGCCCAAGCGAACAGCCTGAAGAGAGGACGCAAACTCGCAAACTAATATACAGTGAAACGCAAGAGCCAACGATTCTCAAGTTAGAGACCTCTAGGAGCCTCTTGGAGTCATATGGGCGGTCTCGTGGGGTCCATTTGGTAGCCTTTGAGGCTCACTTCGGGCTTCTTGGGTGCCCTCTTGGAGGCCCTGAGGGCCTCTTAGGGCCATCCGCGGGTAGGGGATCGACTACATGATAGTTGTACCCCAAGCGTGTTTTTTTCCCCGTAGGATCCACGACAAGGACGTATAATTCTCAGTCTGTAGCCATGTTGACTCAAGGCCAAAATTGTGTTTCGTTCACTGCCTCAGCGGGGTCGGCTCTTTTCTGAGCAATTGGTTTGTTTCGCGCACAAGTCCAACGCTAAAATGGGCATTCCATATACCATTTACACGGCGGCCAGGTTTGGCAGATGGCTCCTCTCTATTTTGGTTCTGGCGTCAAGGGCTTGCCTCAGCCCCCAACCTGGACTGATAATGGATCGGGAGGCACCTGGTCAGCGGTGGTGCGTGAGCACGGATCACGGCGACAACCTGCAGGAAACTCTCCGCAAGGTGGACAGTCAGACGCTCCTACGCGCCAGTCGGCTTGGCATTCTCACAGGGCGTACATCACGTGCTGGTCTTGTGGGGCCTATCACTACACAGACACTCTGGGCGACATCGACTACATTTGCAGTAAGTGCCACTGCAAGTTCAAGGGACACGGACGTCAGCCCAAGCACAGTCGGACCTGGGACGCCTGGCATGGTTGGCAACCACCTCAGGGAGCAGCTCAAGTGATCGCAACGTTGGCACTCCTTCATGATGGGCACTTGGGCACTACGCAGACTCATGATGTGGTGGCAGCCTCGGCAACTCTCAAGCAGGCCACAGAGAAGGCAACAGCTCTTCTCCACTCGCCTACCGAAGCACGGCGCCAATTAGCTGAAACAGTCGAACACGCCGATGCGGCACTACAGTACGCCACCAACGCCTACGATAAGGCCCGTCCCTCGTCAATCTTAACATCGCCAAATCGAAGCTCGAGGGGGCCGTCGCGAAGCAGGAGATCGCCACAGACCAGTACCATAAGCTTCTTCAGCAGCGCCTCGAAAAGCAATCGCAATCGCCTGCTCCAGGATCGCCAACTAACCCAGTACTTAAACATTTGGCAGATTTCCAACCAGCTGGTCAATTTCGACTTCAACTTTGGCCTGGACTTGGATGGAGTTGACCTCTCAGCTGAGGATGCTCAGGAATTTGCTGACCGCAAAGCCTGGCTGCTGAATTCGCCAATACGATCTAGAGCATGATGGGCACATTCTACACCAACATCAGTGTCAAGAAGAAGTTCGATGAGATGGCGAAGAGGCTGGCGGGCAAACGGCGTCGCGCGGGCAGTGCGGAGGACGCGCAGAGCAAAGTGGACGGCGCTCCTGGGGATCCTCCAGGTTCAGCAGGATCGGCATCTTCGGCAGGGTCAGCGGCAAGTCCAACGACGGCAGCGCCTACCCGTAGCGACGCCAGCTCTAATCCCAACAATGGCGTTTCTAAGTTCGCGGCGCCGGTGGCCCAAGCAGCGAAGGAAACCAAGGGGGACATCCGCGCGGCGAAGGTTAAGGGCCCAGTATTGGGGTAACCACCCCAAGAGAAGCAACCGCGACATCTACATGCGCAGCCTCGGCAGGTGGACCCACAGTGCACAGTCGTTTGTGAGGCAAAGGTCGTGCAATGTGACCACCTGCCTGCGCGAACCAGCTCTTGGATGCGTTGGGCAATGCAAGGTACAAGGCCCATCGTGTTCCAGCTAAGCGCAAAGGTGATCTTGAACGCGGATGGGGACTTAGGTGGGGATGTTTCAGCCTTTGCAGTCGGTTTCATTACGAACTGTGGTTAATCATCCCTGGCAGCTCCAGAGGCTGCGGCGCGATGGTCTTGCCCAGTCGCAACTCATTGATCTCGGCGATTTAGCAGCCATGCAGATGCGCTCCAAAGGACGCGCCCTGTCCATCATCGGCGACTACCTCGACGACTCCGTCGGCATCAGAGCTGGGAACCTTTGGGAGCTCGCGCAGATTGGCACGTGGATTTCGTCGCTTCAGGGGCCTTGGATGGTCCTGGGCGATTGGGGCCGAGCATCCACGCAGCCATGACAATCAGGTTGGCCGGATCGGACAGACGGAGGGGCGCGCATCCCGCCGGGGGCATTGCAGAGCGCGTGGTCAAGCACATAGCTCTCAACGAGGACGTGCTTTTCACTGCGGGCATGGCGCGCTACGGAGTCAGCTTAGATATAGAGTTTCAAGTGGGTATTTCCGTGGCACATATCTCGGATCAGCCGCGGGGTTCTCTACGGCCCAGCCCTCCCGGAGGGCTGGGCCGTCGAACGTGTATTGCAAAGCGGAATGCCAATGGGCATTCATTGCGATGCGAAATGCCGGCGTTGCTATGCCGAGCCCGCGGGGCGCGCGTCTGGGCATTTATTTTCGCGCGAAATGCCAATGGCGCCGGCGCCACGCGGCGAGTCAGGTAGGAGGGGGGGGGGGGGCGCGTGGACGGACAGATGACGATGGAACTGTTTACAGTGATGCGCGCTCGCAGAAAATGCGCAGTCCGCAAAGAATGCGGGCTCGCGCCTGCGCGTTCGAAAATGCGCGCGCGGTGTTTGGCGTGGTTTGAATCGGGGAACATGTAATTCATGGTGGACTCCGCCGGCAAGATCGTCGCCGACCATCTTGGGGCTCGGAGAGCGTGAGAACTCCGAAGAAGAAGGCGGGCCCGAGCCGTGAACGCTCCAGACATCAGAAGTATAATATAATATCGACTACGATAGCTCTCGGACCAACTCCGCGAGGTCCGTGGCCAGTGCCAGTGGCGCGCGAAATTCCTGCACTTGAGCACTTCAGTTGGGGCGAGTTATCTGGGGGGGCGAGGGGGGTGGGCCGCCTGGGCCCGAATGCCCTCGACCAGATGATCTTCGGCGCGAACCGCCGCGTGTGCAGCCCCCGCCGCCTGAGGCGCCGGACTCGCGGCGCAGCGTGGGTGGGGGGCAGCTCTGGGATTCTATTGTCGCCAACTTTGCCGCAGAACCTCCACCGTTCTATGTCGTGAAGTCGCGCGCCCTCGAGCTCGCCGCGGGAGCTTTGCAGTCGCTGGCGCAGCCGGCCAGCGATATAATCACCGAAGGTGGGCAGTGCCACCTCTGGCCCCGCAAAGTACCGGACGACCTGCGTCGAGAATGCTCCGGGCGAGCGCCGCCGCGACGATTGGGGGGTAGGCGGCAACAAAAGCCGCCGACCTTCGCCGCCATGGGGGGCCCCATTGCGAAGTGGTGGGCCACCATGGCGGCGCATCTTACCAATCTTGCGTGGCTTCGAAACTCAGGGGCGACGCCGAGATGCAAGTGGCGTGCGGAGAAAGTCCATACTTCGCTGGCTATTATTCCTCTGGGCTCGATGAAAGCCCTGACACCGCGAGTTCGAGCCGCATGGGAGAGAGCCATTCGTGTACTACCAGGGCATTCCGACGATGCGATCAGCGGCGTCGCGCGCCAGGCGCGGGGGAACGCGGGCTTTGCCGACGGGCGTGTCCTTCGAGGCGCACTTCGAATGTTCGCGACTGGGCTATCTCGGCTGAGGTTAACAGCATTGCCGAGCTTTCTTGCAAGGGCCAGGAGCTACCTTCAGTCGTCGACGAGATTGCCTTCGACGACAGCCCTGCGACATTTATCATCACGTTCATGTCGACTAAGGCTAAGAGCTGGCTCGAGAAGTTGACCAGCCCTAGGTTCCACTTTGACGACTTGCAGGACAGTTTACAGTGAGCGTGCTCACTGGCGAAGGAGCAGGACAGGGCGCCACGGAACCTCGACAACCTCGAGTTGGTCCTGAAGGTTTTCAGTCCCAAGAATGCCATTGGAGCAGAGCGCATTGGCAAAGAGGACATAGTGGTTACCGTCGGCAGCCAGCGACGAGCTGGTTCGCATCTTTGATCTTACTGAGGAGCAACTCACGTTGAACGTCAGCACCCTGCAACGCAAGACTGAGGCGGGCTGGTCAATTGGATTAATTGCATGGCTCCGTAGGTTTTGGGGCGCAGCGCGATCTTCAGAACGAGTGGCATGGACAGCGCAGAGGGCAGGTGCATGGGGCGCGGCCGTCAAGGGTAGCTCAGCACTTCGAGTTGTGCTTGGGCGGATTTCCAAAGATGAAGCTCTCGTCCTGCAAGGCTCGGCTCGTCGTACCTACGTCGTGTCAGCGCGATTCCCTCGATTGGGTCTGCATCGTTCGCCAGGCGATTGACATCGGCCACCCCGTTCTCATTCTCATCCTTGAGATGTTGGTGCACGTGCTCCCGGTGAAAATTCGCGAGGCAGGGTGTGTCTCCAACATCCTTCAAGTTGATTTGAGGTTGGTGGCAGGCGCCAATGCTTCAGTAGACCTGGGGCGCTGTGCCGTCTGTTTCATGTGAAACAGCGGGCGTTTTTCCCGCTGCCTCCCGCGATCATGTCGTTGGTTGATGATTTTGGTTAGCGCGCTGAAGGCATTATTGCCATTGCACCGCCCATCGTGCCATTGGCGGGATTCGCCCTGGCCAGGGGATGCGCAGCAGCAGGGCTGGTCATGTCGCCGAAATCCACCACCATCTCTTCGCCGCCAACCCTCGCCGAAGCCCTCGAAGACAAACTGAGCGGCGCAGCGTGCCAGTGCGCGCGGATTGTGTGAAAGCTGATCTCGGAATTCGGAATCCATGAGGGGCGTTTGGGGGGGTGGCCCAAACAGGAGACACGGCGCCGCAATATGGGCAAGTGTATGCGCGAGATCCTAAGGCTTGCCAGATCGCCAGCGCGTCATCGGAACGTCGCAGGGAGGCCATCCCTCATGGGGGCCGCCCCCGTGG